CGCTTCGCCCCCGCTTCCCCTCTCGCCCTCCGTGCTCACGCCAGCTGAGCGCGAAAACGACAAAAGTCTTCTGGATATAGCATAGGCGGTAAGAGGTAGTCTGATAAGCACATTGAGTCCCACAGCGCTACATAAGTGGCCACCACCCTTGACATTGCTCTAGGGGACTCGAGATGTGAAAGTAATAGCGCGAGAGATCCGAACGAACCGTGATCGATGAAATTCCTTGTACAATGTACACAGGTGTACCTACACTCTAAATGGGAAAGGAGAATTTTGTATCCAGATGGGACTGTCATCTCAATAGGATGGATATAAGATTGCCCCTAAACTAGACATAAAAATAGTTATTTGTACTTAAGCTAGGTGCAGCTCGCAACTTTTCGGATACAAATTTGCATCCAATTGGGATGTGCTTCAGAACACATCTTCGCTGGATACAAAATTTTCCTTTCTCATTTTTAGAGTGTACGGCTATCCTGACTTTTGACCCTAACCATTTTTTGCACGTGGACCCTCGACAGATCTTCCGCCACGGGCAGCGCACCCCTGCTGACACCTATCCGAACGACCCTTACGAGAAGTTCGACTTCGCCCCGGTTGGCTGGGGCCAGCTCACCCTGGTAAGCGGCCGCCTCTCCGCCTGCCCCTGCCGACGGGGTCCTGGACGAGGCAGTGCCAGAGGCAGTGCACGCCGTGACCGTGTTGCAGGCCGGCAAGCGGGACCAGTACGAGCAGGGCCGCTGGCTGCGCCGCCGCTACGGCCGCTTCCTGGGCGACGAGTTCCACCCCGACGTCGCCGAGGTCCTCAGCACGGACGTGGACCGCACCAAGATGTCCGCCATGCTGGCCATGGCCGGGCTGTGGCCGCCCGCCCCCGAGCAGCGCTGGCACCCCACCCTGGACTGGCAGCCCGTGCCCATCCGGAGCCAGCCGCTGGACCAGGACGACGTGAGCGTGTGGCAGCCGCCAGGCAGCCGCCCTCAGCGGAAGGAAACTGGCGGGAAAACACGAGTGTTCTGGTTTGGTCGAGCAGAGTTTCCTACTGCTAGGTCAGTGGGAGTAGGGGGTAAGGGCTCGACCAATGAGAAACCTTCTCGTTCATCCCGATGATCTCCTTCCTCTGGAAGCTGAGCTATAAAATACACTATGAAATAAGTTATTGATCTGCACTTGCATTGCCCTGACCTCTCGCACCTGCCTGAGTCGACTTTGGCACAATTGCGACCCGAGCGGGACCCGAGGTCAAGGTCAATGAAGATCAGCCTTCTTGGTCGGGTCAATCATGTACCGGGTGAACCAGAGATCAGAGCGGTCGCCGCAGTGTTGCGGGTTGGTCTCCGCCCGCCACCTGGCTCCCCACAGCCCCACCGGCCTAAGAGGGTATGCCAACGCGAACCCGCAACTCTGCAGCGTCTTCTGGTAGGCTGACCCCCGGGTCCTGGGTGCCGCAGCTGCTGCTGGTGCGAGTGCCGTGCGCGCGCTACGACGAGCTTCGCGACGAGGTGATGCAGTCGCCAAGGGTGCGCGCTCTACTCCAGGAGCACGGCAAGCTGCTGGACTGGCTGAGTGAGCAGACGGGCATGAAGATCGCTGACCCGGACGACGTGCAGTCCCTGTACAGCACCCTCAAGGCCGAGGTGAGGAATGCGTGGCGCCCTGGGCCGGGGCCCTGGCTGCACTGAAAAAAAAAAAAGAATCATTGTTCCAACGACCGTCGTGTTCTTGTGGCCGGGTTGTTGGTCCAAAGACACGATGTTGCTAACCCTATGACAGCCGGTAGTTGTGCCACCGACCATGCCGTTGAGCCAGCAATCATGGTCGTTGGAATAGCATCATATGTTTCTGAAGCCATTCCAAGAACAAAATGTTATTGGAGGTGCAACTCATGTCGTTGGTACAATGATTCTTTTTTTTGCGTGTGCCAGAGACACGCGCCTTGACACGCGGACCTCTGCTTGCAGGACGGCTACAACCTCACGCTGCCCGAGTGGACCCGAGGAGTTTACCCGGAGGCTCTCGAGCACCTTACCGCCATCAGCTTTGAGATCAACGCCATGACCCGTGAAATGCAGCGGATCAAAGGAGGTGGGTA